TCTTTCATAGATTTCTTTTATTCCACAACCTTTCAAAATCCAAAAATCTTTAGCATCGTCTTTCCTTTATCACATGTTGTCCTTGTTCAATCATTTTTAGCTGCAAATATGGGATACTGCTGGACAGGAACGTTTTCGATCTATAACGCAGAGCTACTACCGCAGTGCACATGCTATTGTCTTAGTATACGATGTCGCATGTCAACCATCGTTTGATTGCTTACCAGAGTGGTTAGCAGAGATTGAATCATATGCTAATAGAAAAGTTTTGAAAATCTTAGTAGGTGAGCAGATATCATGAACCACTAACTGCAGTGGATCGCTGGCAGGTATCTATCTTTGCAAGTGCTTGTAACTCATTCCTTTCAGGTAACAAAGTAGACAAGGGAGATGAACGCGAGGTTCCGGAACGAATCGGTCAAGATTTTTCCGAAGTTAATGGTTTCGATTACTTCTTGGAGACTTCAGCGCTAGATGCAACAAATGTGGATAATCTGTTTGAACACGTTGCGCGACGGTTGACTGATGATATGAAAGCCACTGATCAAAGGTATTTATATCTCCATATAACTTTGTTCCCTTTATCTTTTAGACTTTTTTTGCGCTTTTTGAGCGAATCCCTTCAGAGATTTTTGACATACAACATGTGGAGATTTTGACCGTGCACAGCTTGCTTTCAGATTACTCGTAGTATCTCTAGGCGAAACCGTTTTTCTCCTTTGACTCTTCTTTTTTCTTGTTTTTCGAGTAAGAAGAAGGCGAGATAGTAAAGGTGTTTGAAATAGTTAGCGATAAGGATCTGGTTCAAAAGAATCTGACTGCTGCCTGGAATTTTTTATCTAGCATATTGCTCGTGTTCGTTATTGCTTAAGAAAGAACTGTTTGCAACTTTCGTTTGGTTATATCTCGGTAAATTGTTCTCTTGCTTTCTTTCCAATGAACAGTATCATTTTGGTGGACTTTTCTCGCCCACCTGTTTAGTCCTAAATCTCGAGCATTTCTCGCTTTCTATTGTATATTTCACTTTTGGTTCTTCAACAACACAAAGCATTCATCTTCTTATCTTTGAACTTACTCTTTGTTGCAGGTATAGCCATTACAAATCCGATTCCAGCGGTGGCAACCAGCCAATAAATCTTGTGGAGAGAGCTCAAAATACTATCAACGCTTGCTGCGGACGGACATAAAAAAACTACATTTTTTACGTTTGAATATTTTTCTGCCTTTGACATCAGACCATCTCTTTCATGTTTTTGTATTACTTATTGCTCTTCTGTATTCGGATGTGATGAGCTGTAATCTCATGCAATTCCAAAATTAAGCGTTTCGCTTTTTCAGCTGCTTTTGCATGCTCCTCTTAGAGCTGTACTTTAGTAATTTTTTTGGTGAATATAATTGCATTAAGTTCTTCCTTCATGCCGGTATCATCTGTGATAAATTCTAGTGAATAGCAAACCGATTGAAACAATTTCTGTTTCGAGTGACTTTCCTCAGTACATTTGACTTTGCTAGCCTATTGTTTCTGGTGAAATATGCGCCTTCTTTCAGTATTATACTTGTTGATTTGCCGCTTTCTAGCTTTTGCAGCTTGACATTTTATGCAATGTATTTGAAACTTTCACATCTAACTTCACCTTTGTCCAACCAAATATGAAATTTGATTTGTATGTTTTATTTCTTCACTTGTTATGAGATTATATTTATGTTATTTAGTTTAAAATGAAGAATTCTATATTTGTCATTTTTGACGGGAAGTTAGCTAACAGCAGTTGGTGATCCGCGTGCTTCGTTAGCTATTGATTAGTCGTTTCGCGTATCTCACGAAAAAACACCTTTCGGTGCAAGCACTCGGCATACATCGAGAGAGAATCGATATTGGAACAGAATTTGGGGCAAATCTTTTTGTATGTACCCATCGCGTTCTCTGTTCTTTGTACTTTTATATCCCTTCTTCAAGAACTTTCTGGAAGTAACAGTAGAATAGGGTTTGTGGTAACGGTAGAGTTTCTCGTAAGGATCTGTATATAGAAAATCTGTTTTGCTTGTCTTGCCATTGCTAGTACTGGAATACACCCGAGCACTTCTTCACGTGCAGACGAATTCTTAGCAAACGCGAGTCGTTGGTTAGCGCTGTAAGCCTATCAGTCAGCAAATGCATAATTCCCATAAAACTGCTCGCTGCTAGAAAGTGCCCGAAAACGTTCCTGTATTGGACTCTAATTCTACAAAACAAACTGAAAAATCAATAGAATTCTGTAGCTGGACCACTTCCTAAAAACCATAGCTAAAGTTGATGACAAGAGTCTCAATTTTGAGAAATCTAGGCAAAGAAAATTCTTATTTATCAATTAAACTGGAAGTTTGAATGTTCTGTTCGCTCTATTGAATTCGACAAATTAACAGGATATTCAACGCAAATGCCAACACTAAGTTCATGTTCATTGCAATTTATCTTCTTGGAACAGGAGATGTACGTACAAGCGTGATGGTACACACGTGAATTGGACTTTGTTCGCTGTTTTATCAGTCGATTATTTGACCGGCGACGTTAACGATGCCACTCATTCCTTCGAGATTACTTCGCGGCTTTATAAGGTGATTGCTCTAACATTTAAAACTCTTCATTCTCTCTTCCCCTTTTTGGATCCCCTCCACTGACTGTCCATTGCTATTGTTAAACACCTACCTATTTATTTATTTTTTACAAATTTGACCTTCAGTTATTTTTCATAATGAGTAGCTTATGTTAGAAAAGTTGTTTTTATTGCTCTATATTCGAATGCTATAGTCTAGCGAAGAGCGACTGCTCATGGTGGGGTAAAAATTCATTGCCACAAATAATCGGCTTATTGAAACGCTTTATCCGGGATTATAGAAAGTTGAAACATAGATCAATGGTTATTCTTTATTAGACTACTGAATTTTTTGTTCGCAAAAAAGAGAGGAATTAAGCGTAATTTAATCTCAGAGATATTTGCTTTTTTTCTATTTTGAATCAATTTCTGGAGGTTTCATATAGTTCGCTAGCTATTCTTTAAGTGACAGGATTTTTGGATGAAAACCTTCGAAAAACTACATTTGTAGAGAGAACTTTTACAAAATTTTGTTTGAAAAAATTCAAATGCATAACTTCATTTTATCAAGGAACATAGTAAAATGGTTTGCTATTGGTTCTGGAGGGATGCCTCTGCGAGCATCTGAGCATAGCGCATTTTTAGCCAAAAGAAACGGCATTTTCTAGCATGAATTAGCAACAGCAGGTGTTGATGATTCTGACCTTTTCAAAGAATGGCTGCGCGGCAGCAAAGCAGCTGCTGTCTTGTGTGATATCAGTAGCGTGTTCATCATTACTCATGTTACCTAATGCGGCACATGCAGAATGGTGGTAGTCGACATACCTACATTTGTACTGCTGGAGTTGAGTTTTTCTAGACTACCGCGCGATTGCAGAAGATCGTTGCAAAAAAACTGGTCCAATTT